CCTATTTAAATTTGTTGGCTAATGTTTATGCATGCGGCTTAGATGCCTATTAAATAATTTATTTTAACTTGTAAACATTGTTGCGATGTTTAAATACGGGAATGTTGTGCCGAGCCTATAATTTACACATTTACACAGCAAAATTCTAAGAAATTGTTGATTTATCTTTACACCAGCAAAAGTGCCATTTTTGTGGAGAAACTATTAAATGGAATAATTTGTGGTATAAAATTACGGCAATTAGTTATCGGTGGACGGTTCGTGCTTACCTTTAATCGTGTGCTGGCAGATACAGTTTTGTGGCAAATTACTGACGAACGAACTATTATTGATGTTAATTTCTTTATGGCCTGCAATTTGCTTTGGGTCACGAAGAGCGCTTAAAGGTAGGCAACATTATTTTAAATGGATAATAGCGTTAGCTCAAAGGTGATTTTTTGTGTGTGGCTAACAGTATATAAAACGAACACTAATAGCTTCAAAGGTGCTAATGTGTGTGTGTGTATGTGTTTACTTGTAGCTGTAAACGATTCATGCATAACAAAAAGTGGCCACTTAAAATGTACTCAGTTATTTGATGACAATTTAAAAGCGCACAGCTTTGATAGAATTCATTTTCATTTTAAATAATTTATTGTTATTTGCCGAATTTGGCAGAGTGCATTGCTATGAATTTATTAATTGGAGCTATTGTGTTTTATTCCGTTCAATGACAATTAAATTAATTACTGACATATTAAATAAGATATTAAGGTTTTGTTTGTTGTTTAAAGGCTTAGAATGTTCCTTTTAGTGCAATACTAATCTAAAAATAGATTGATATGTTATTGCAAAAGTTAAAAATTTCCCATAGCAAAGTATATGGCTCACTTTTGCAATTATTGCTGAATTCTTTTTCTTCTCTTTAATATTAAAATATATTTATTTTGTGGTTTTTATTTTTCCTGAAGACTTAGTTCGGTTTCACTCTTTATTTGATTTTTAAATGGGTTCATAATAAATAATTAAATATATTATAAAAGTATGAATAAGTGAAGTTTGAATGACCAACTTTTATTTAAGACTTAAGGGGTCACTTTTCGTACTGAAGTGGTACCTTAATCTATTGAAATTTCTTTCAGTTTGTAGTTGACGAAAAAAAATTATGACTATATATAGGAAATCTATAAATTGCGGTTGCGTGTAATCAATGCAGATTTGTTTTTGACAGTTGCCGAAGATGTCAAAATCATTTCTCTCGCTTGGGGCAGATTTGCCAAAATATTCCTGCACCGTTTTTCCCCTTTTAGGTTAGGCGCTTCTGCAAAAATTTGCATAAAAAGCAAAATAGATTGCGTGCCAATGTAAAAGCTGTCGATGCCAAGATTACTGGAATTCATGATTTTCTCAGAATTTGCAAACGTTTTATTGTTTGGCAAATATCCTTAGTGAAATAAAAAAGTCGTTTGATTATAGCACCAAGGTCAGGTCAAAACAAAAATACCAAAAAGTTTTGGCCAAACGGAAGTAATTACTTGACTTTTCCCCGGCCTACACTTCCGGGTAGGCAGGCACTTATACCAGATTATTATTATTATGGCAGCAATTATTTATTTTTTGTCCAGCTAATGAAATGAAATGGCTTTGCACGGATTTGTAATAAAACAAAAATTAATTGTGACAAAGAAATTTATAGCTTACTCTACGTGTTTGTCTGAAATACTCAGAACACACAAATTTTTGTGTAAAATTTGTGGCTGAAAAGTTTAATGCTTTTTTGACAATAAGCAAAAAGTAATTATCATAATTGCAAGCAGTCAAAGTCGTGCGTGATTTGCCTAGCTATGGATTTGGATTAGCTATGGAAACATTGTTGAAATCAAAACGATATAGAATGAAACACGAATAAATCTATTGAAAAATGAATATTTCACAAACATTACTAATTCAAAAGTTAATATATAAAAGATTTTATATAAACTTCTATCTAAGTGCGAACTCTTTGTGTTGAGTTGTGCAATGTCGGTCCACGAACTAACACATAAGACTAGCCTAGTTTAGCTCTAATATGCTAAGAAGTAGGCACAACAAATTGCATACCACTCACAAGTAGCCCATAACGAAGCGCTTTCTTTTCTTTGCCCCTATACAAAGAATATTTCCAAAGACAGGTAAGCCAAAAAGGTCAAAGGGTTGGTCTTGAAGCTTTGGGTGGAATTTGCTTGCAGTTGCTACGGAAGGCCATTATGCAAATTACTTGGAGATATTTAAAATTTACAGTGAATCGAAATTTGCATGCATAAAATGCGTAATATTCACAATATGGTAATTAGGTTGTTTGCCATTTTTGATAGCGGTCGCAGGGCAATTGGCACAATGACACAGAATACAACGAATTAAATTTTCAGAGTGCTTTAAATATTACTAATTTTACTAAAACAATGGTCCAATTACAAAATTGGTTGCTGTTTGTTTTCCACTTGGAGAGTTGGCCAAGAGGCCCACAGAAAAAAAAAGAACTCAAACTGTTTGTCTCGCGGCTGGACGGCAAAATATTTACTATCAGACACGTGCCATCGTTGCCTAAATCAAAAAAGTTTGCGGAAACCATTAATTGACTGCCATTGTTGCATACCGAGAAAAACCAAATGAACAGGACTTTCGCACGCATCCTTGGCGATAGTCAAATCGATATTGTATACGCAACTAATTGAGTAAATTGTGAGAATGTGCAGATTGTAAATATATAACTAAATGGGAAACTAATATGTAGCTCCAATATAAATAAGTTAGCTGATAAAAGCAGACAGTTGAGCCCAGACCACATTAATTAAAGCTGTTGCTTAATCATTTATATGTAAGGCACTTAAGAAATTTGTTACAGTATTAAACATCTTTTTGAAATGAGAATAAAGCAAGACCAAACGAACACAATAGAAAAGAGTTATGCAAAGCTTCTTTTACTTAATTTATAAGTATTTTTCATTTACTCTAAGAAAATTCTAAGTTAAGCTTGTACAGGTAAATTTTAGCTCAAATCATAGTTGATTCATTGAAATTAATCTTTTACGTAAGAATGTCAGCTCAACTTATTCGCATATTAAATTTGTTATATTTTGCAGCATGGAAATGCCGAGAAATTTGATATCAACTAAATAAAGACTCTAAATCCTATTAAGTGATTAACATCAAAAGGATTTTAATTTAAAGGCTCGAGTTTCATTTTAAAAGGAAAACGCAATAGAATGTCTAGAAGGATATATATATATATATATATATTCAAGTAAAGCAGAGAAAATTGCCTAAAAATTGCAGACAGGTATTTAATACGAGTATTCCTAAAATGTTTAATCTTAAAGGATATTGACTAATTTAATAGGATTATTAAACAGTGCTAAATATATCAAGCAAAATTTTAACATTTTATATTTAAAGACACAATTATTTTTATTTATAAAAACCATACAGAAAATAATATCATTTTCTGATTGAAAAGTTTTATTTGATTGATCAACGCATTGCGTGGGGACTAAGTGCACTAACCTGTATCCGTTAAATAATATTAAATGTTATTAAGAAATCCATTTAAAGGTCGAAGATGTGAGTGTGTATGTGTCAAATAATTGAATAGAGTTTGGCTGCTGCACAAATCTACTTCTTGAGGCTTACATTTACAATGCAGATTGTTTGTCAAAACATAATGAATGGAATGAGTGATTCTTTAGAAGCGTAATTTTACTTTAAAAGCCGAAAGCCGAAGCCATATGACCTAACAAAGATATGTCTTGCGCTTACGATACATTACACACTGTCAAAGAGTTATTTGCATAATTGATGAGCTTTGCTTTGGAATTCCACTAATCAGCACGTCAATCAGCCACCCATCTGGCAAAGACTTTAAGTCAGCGCCGCCCACTAATTAACGAAAATCATATATGCCCACAACTACTTATATGGTTATCAGTACGAAAGATGTGCATCTCAACTACAATACAACTATCACTAAGTGAGATTCTCTGCGTAATCTGAAGTAGTTTGGCAGATAATATTTGCTCATTTCCGCTGACAAACGGATGCAGCTCAAATGAAATTACTTAAAACTAGAGATTCAATTTGCTGCGTTATTGGATGATCCTTTATCAAGCAGTTTCCTTTTTACAATTTGCTTTCATGCTTTAGATTCAATGCTTTTCAATTGTTCATTTAGAGCTACTCTGTCAAGTTGAAAAGGTGTTTACGGAGACTGAACCAAAAAATATTGAACAAACATTAGTTTGTGTGAAAAATATTAAATTAATGCCTGCATTTTGTTCAGATATGAAGGCGCTTAAGCAATGTAACCTTGAGCTAAGTTTATGAGGAGCTATTGCTAGTTTTGTTATTTGTAATGCACTAGAAAGGGTTCTTATATATTTATCACAGAGTTGAGAATGAATGAATTCCTACAAACTAACAAAAACTAGATTAATTTTAAAATTTGTTTGCTATTACATTTTATATCATACTTATACTATTTCAAAATATGGGATTAGTATGAATATCGTATACCGTTGCTGACATGGGGTATTTGATATTTAATTACTCTTCTGACTTAACTAATCTCCTAATTATTTAAATATTCTTATCAAAGGTCAATATCAGAACAAGAACAATAAAGGCAACAATATCAAATGCAACAGTAGCAGTAACAAAAAACAAAATAGATTACATGCAAATTGCTCAAGCAGTTGTTTTTATGTCGTTTTTTGACATGCAGTTTTATTGAATGCACTGTAGCGAAAATTTATATGTGTTTTGTTGAGCAGAAACTCATATACAAATACTCAAGCCCTTCGTAAACGTTACTTTATACACATGCAGTGGCTTTCAAAGGATTTACTGTAAACTTACTATGGCTTTTGTATAGGATATGGTGTTATAGTCTCATATGAGTGCTCTGTAACTAGAAAAATCATTTATATACATATATTCAATATACTCTCTCTCTCTATCTCTTTTGCTTCCGCTCACATATTCAATAGGGACTTTCTCACTGAATGCCTGTTTCCATCGCCAACGCGTCCATATGAGTTGCCGTGGGAACAGAAAACGATTTGGGCAATTGTATTCGGTCTGATGATGTTCGTGGCTATTGCGGGTAATGGAATTGTTCTCTGGATTGTAACAGGTAAGCTTCTAAGATGCGAACGGCTTTAACTTGCAATGATAGCTGAAAATGGGTGAATTTAATGCGATGGGTTAACTTAAGTGCCATTTTCAACCTGACTAAATCGCACATACGCCGCATTGCCGCGTTCGGCATTGTCTGCATGACTGCATCGATTGTTTGGCAACTAATATCCGGTGGATTTGTCGTTTTCCGTCATGCCTCACGTTTTGGCCATTTCTCGTTTCGTTCGCAGGACATCGCAGCATGCGCACAGTCACCAATTATTTCCTGTTGAACCTCAGCATTGCTGACCTGCTAATGTCCTCCTTGAATTGTGTCTTCAACTTTATATTCATGGTGAATTCGGATTGGCCATTTGGCTCGATTTATTGCACCATCAATAATTTTGTGGCCAATGTAACGGTTTCAACATCAGTCTTCACCCTCGTCGCCATTTCGTTTGACAGGTGAGTGTTTGGTTATTGAGCACAATGCCATCTACATATCTATATCCGCAGCCGAAATTGCAACCACATCCATTTTATATATATATGTATTTGCATGTATATATTTCAGATATATTGCAATTGTACACCCATTGAAGCGGCGCACATCACGACGAAAAGTACGATTTATACTGGTAATGATCTGGGCACTGAGCTGCGTGCTCTCAGCACCGTGCCTACTCTACTCCAGCATTATGACAAAGCAGTAAGTGAACTGTGTAATACTTCTGTACGTGTGTGAGTGACCTTGACGGCTTTGCAAAGTCAGCGGCACCAGCACCAGCAACAGCAACAGCACCAGCAACAGCATCAGCAAATTTTGTTTATTTTCTATGCTACACAAGAGGCTACCAACAAGTAATAAACATAAAGAACTTTGTAAGACGTAGCTCAAGATACTCTTCATATAGATACTTTTTCACACGAGCACCACCACCTGCAGTGCAGTTGCCCGCTGTGTCTTTTATCGATTCGATGATTTAGCCCCCAACATATAAGGCGGGACGCATGAAGCTAAAGAAAAGCTGAGCAACTTCACTTACATTAGAATTTTACGCAAATTTGCGCACTTCAATGAACCAAATTCACCTAATAAATTTGAAGTACTTTTTATTTAGCCTAGCTATCTATATAGCTGACATAAAACGTTGCCAAGGGTAATGCCTACGGATTTAATAAATTCAAAGCTCACATATCAAAATATGCAGCATGTTCAGACTAATCTGTATAAAAGTAGGGATAAAAGCAGTAGATGTATAAAAAATGTAAATAATAATGGTAGCCATATTGCACTGTTAGCTGTAAATATGCCGCCTATAGCTGTGATTTGTGCAGGAATTTATAAAAATTGAAAACAAATATAATAACATTTTATTTGATTACGTATATGAATATGACAGGGACTATAACTTGTATATTAATAAGTTATTCACTTTAGAGATCAAAGCAAAAAATTTGAAATTCATTCGCCATGCGTTTGTTGTTGTTAATATAATTGTATATTTAAATAATAATAAGTAATTAAAAAAATGTCTTTCAAAGTAGAGAATTGAAAGCTTTGGACTAAATGTTATACAGTAATACGATGAGTTAAAAGCTTGAATTCAAATAGATTCATATGCATATTACCAAACTAAAATGATTAATGAAAGAGGGTTGATGATTTACTAGAAATTGTGAATTAAATGTAATTAAATTTGAAACAAAGTTGAATATTTCGCTCGGCGAAGGTCAGAAGGCGAACACATTCCTCCATACAATGTAAAATATTCTAATTGTCACTTTCCGAGAAATTGCCTTTTGAAATTATTATTCATGTTTGATTGGTTCGGAACCATTGTGAATCAAATTCTTAATTATTTCATTCAACTCTATTTGTCCAGCTGAAGCAAATTGGAACTCATATATTCACAATCAATAGAGCTGCCTGCTGCCCGTCATAAATGTTGCAAGCCAACCACAGTCGTTTCAATGTTCAAATTCGCCCAACTAAGTAATTACCTGTCTGGCCGTTGTATTGTTAAAGCTTAGAAATTGTCGCTCAGTGGGAACATCCCGCTTAAGTGCTCCAATCATAAAATTTGTCATTATATTTCAAATTAGGTTTTCAATTTGACGTGCACAAGTACCGTGGTAAAACTGTGCCAACCCGCCCCTCCTTTTGCACGTTTCCGTGTGGACAATCTTCTTGTTTAACTTTTAGGTGTGGAAATATTTAAGGGCACTTTTGGGTTAGGTTCGCTATGAGTAATTAAATGATGATGAAAGTGTTGGGCGCAATGTAAAATTCAGTTAGGTACTGGAAAAGTTTTGTTTACCGTAAAATTTAAAGCAATTAACCATAGCTGAGATAACTGGTAATGAATTCTAATTACTCAACAGCTATTACAATGGAAAATCACGAACAGTTTGCTTCATGATGTGGCCCGATGGACGTTATCCCACATCAATGGCGGACTATGTGTAACTATTTGTTTATGTTCTTTACCAACATTGATTATACCTAACTTTGTGCTTTAACCATTACCAGATATAACCTAACTATTTTGGTGTTGACATATGGCATACCCATGATTGTAATGCTCATATGCTACACGCTGATGGGGCGAGTCCTCTGGGGCAGCCGGTCAATTGGTGAGAATACGGATCGCCAGATGGAATCGATGAAATCGAAGCGAAAAGTGGTTCGCATGTTTATAGCGGTCGTCTCAATTTTTGCCATTTGCTGGCTTCCCTATCACCTGTTTTTCATCTATGCCTATCACAACAATCAGGTGGCATCCACAAAATACGTACAGCATATGTATCTGGGATTCTACTGGCTGGCCATGTCCAATGCAATGGTCAATCCAATTATCTATTACTGGATGAACAAGAGGTAAGCAAAACAAACAATAGTAATTAGAAAAACTTACATTTTCGAAGAATAAACCACTAAGTAAACCAAAGAAGACGTAGAGAATGAAAACAGTAAAATAAAAATAAAATTACAGAACAAAGCAGAAAAAATAAGCGTGATTAAATTCTCGACTTGAATTAAGCTAGAGCAAAAGATGAAAAAGTCAGACAAAGTAGTGAATGGTCAAAGTTTATGTAGATTAAACATTTTTGCCTGGCTGGTGGCCAAGGCAGGAGATAAATGAGAAAAAATAGTTGAATGGCCAAGACAGGAGATAAATGAGAAAAAATAGTTTAAAAGTGTTTAATGCACTCACTTATTGCGCAAAAAGTATAATAGCCTTTAAAGAATGTTATTAATTTAGTGTTTTATTAATTTGTTTCTACAGATTTCGCATGTACTTTCAAAGAATCGTTTGTTGCTGTTGTTTGGGCTTCATTCGCTATAGATTCGACTCTCCCAAGAGCCAGGCGACCAACAAAAATAGTTCACATCGAAACACAAGAGGTACGTATGCAGGACATGTACATCCACTGTGAGTATCTCAATCATGTGACTCTCCCAATCGAATTGTGTAGCCGAGACGAAAAGCCAATGGAAGCGGAGCACGATGGAAACACAAATCCAACAAGTGCCTACCTCATCATCACGAGATAGGCAGGCAGGGGCGGTTCAGGGGTTGAACCACACTGCCGTGGAATGCATCATCGAGCGTCCTGTGGATGAAAGTGGTTCACCCATTTGCCTTTCCATTAACAATAGCGCGGGCGAGCGACAGCGAGTGAAAATTAAATATATCTCATGCGATGAGGACAACAATCCCATTGAGCATGAATCCGAATCCGGACATAGTCACGGTCACACTCATAGACATAGTCACAGACATAGTCTCAGTAACAGTTACGGCCGCAGTCGGGCTCAGAATGCTGCGCTGGTCCAGCAGTTGTGATGGGAAAGTTCCAAGGCGGTTTCGTTGTCAAAAGAGCCAATCAAAATAAAAGGAATTTCACTGTAAATACGAAAATCGAATTTGTGGTTGTCATCAGCAACATAAATTAAACACGAATTAATAATAATATTAATAATTTTAATAACAATGCGTTTCCATACAAACTTATTGCTGTACTCAATGTTTAACATATAGTTAATGCCATCAAAGAGCTGTAAGTTTTAACTGTTGTTTAAATATACAAACATATAAATTTGTATTTACTTTAGCTACTCGTATATATTTATGTATTTGAAAATGTTTGTTGAATTTACATGTTGAACTAAGCTACTTACAACTTGCATTTTATTTAAACTTCTACTATAATATAATAATAGTTGCAAATGACAGGAAAATTGCATACTCGCTGAAAATTCATTTTTGATTTGCCTTAATTGAATTTAGTTGTTGACTGGTAATAACAACTCAATGAAATGCAATGATTTCGTTAATTTGGTAATTAATATGAAATGGTAATCTTATAATTCAAGAACACTTTCTATCAATGGCACTGACATATTTCAAATACCATATACATAAATATATGTGTATCTGTGTAGGTTGTAAATAAATTGTAAAAATTTTGTGAAATTTTAAACAGTTATTGAACTATTTCTCTTGGTTTTCGTAAAAATTCATTGCCGGACATTCATGAAAAATATTTTTTGAATGCATCATTGCAAATATGTTCAGGTAAGTTAAAAAAAAAAAATAGACAGCCAAGGTTTGCCAATTAAATGTGCTCAACAATTTGTGGGACGTATCCTTTGTAGAGCTCGATTTGTGGGGATTCGGCCACTGAACAAGAGCCAATCCAAGGCAACTGGTCGGTAAGTTTTTGTTCACATATATTACTTGGTATGGATACGTTCACCGCAAAAATGTTCATAGAAATTTACACATATTTGTAGATCGTTATTATATAAATTGTTTAATTTCTAGTTCATTATTTTTATTAAAGCTACTTTCTTATTGGCTAATAAATGTTTTAATTTCATATTCTCATTTTAAATATTATTTATTACTAGTTGATAAATGATAGAAAGTTCGAAATGTGTTATACATTTTATGTGTTTTTATGTTGAAGTTTCCTTTTCAAACACTTTTATTTGCTTGAGAGCATAAGTTCGCGTGACTGATTGAGGATATGCACAAGTCAGTTTATCTAATAAAACAACTTCTTATTGCATTTATCAGATATTCAATGGGAAATTGTCCCCAGGCAAGGGTCACTTTCTAGTCAATAAATGCAAATGACTTTGGATGTGACATTCATTCAACCATTTAGAGTAAATATTTCATTTATTTGGAGTGCATTGCAAATGGAAATGGCACAGATAAAAGATTCTCACTACACAAAAGACGGTCAGAAACTGTTTCATTTTAAAAATGAGAAGGTCGTAATAAATTAAAGTACTATTCGCCTCCTTCCAAAAGGTATTATGTTTTAAGTCGAAATGTTTTTTAGAGCGTACCAATTGGTGAGTGAAAGAGCTTTAATAAAATTCCAATTTATATTTCATTGGCATGTATAAATTGTTATTTGGATGCTAGAAACTTTGAACACAATCTGAGAAACTGGCAAAGTTACAATGGTACATAGAAAACATTTCAACATTCTTAAATTTATTTTATAAGTTTGATTACACCATCAACTTTAAAAGTTAAATCGAAATTGAGCATATATACTTTTTATTTTATTTGTTACATGTCGAAAAACGCCATAGATTCTGACAACAACAATTTTTTCCTACGAATTTACAAACAGGTCGATTTCATGTAAGAAAATGGAGTTGTAATTTCATTCAGATTGTAAGACATACAGAATTGCATTAAATTTTAGACAGTTTCGTTAAAATTGTCCTATCTATAATAAATAAATGTTTCCATTGCGTTAAGTTGGGTTAAATCTGTTGGGTCCATCTCCTTCCCATATACTTTGACCTTAAAAGCAAATTTAGTCACAATATGTTGTAATCAATGCTCTAAGCTATTTGTAAATTGTGCCTAAAACATTTCGATTGAATTTCAAGCAAGTTTTCTTTTCTCAGTAGTAGCATTAATGCGCACAAATTGCTCCTTGTGATAAGTTGGCGATAACTCCTATTTATTGTAAGATAACAACAACACATTTAGCGTAATAAGATTTTATGGGCTCTCATGAAGAGTAGACAGAGGCTGGGTGAATGAGAGAAAGAGAGCTGAAAAGAACACATTGAAAAGCTTCCATTGAAATGCTCTTTAATGGTATGAAAGCATAGAATAACAATTTGCATAATAAGATGATTTTCGGTTAGCGGTTTCTAATACGCTGTCAATGTATCAAGTGTTTTTTTTTTCACTTATTTCAGGTCATTGTCATGCCAGCAAAGGCTTTCAAACTCTGTTGAAAAGAATCCCTTTATACTTCCATGCGACTCCTACATGCCAGATATCATATGCTCTATCTTGCCATGTTGGCCCAGCAACAGACATCGACTGTTGAAGGCATTAAGGTGGGCGTGTTGAATTGGTCCCCTTTAACTTGTAGCTGCTTGTAGTCACATCAAATGGCAATAAATTCCCACTGGTATTCACAACATATGCTCGGAAGTAGTCTATAAAAATAATATGAAAATTGCACATTCAGTAAGTGCGCATAACGTTTCTGGCTAATTGGCTCGCCCACAGGTATTATGTGCCATATTATGTTATTAAGCAACTTCGCGAATCGCGATTATGCATTATGTGGTAACTATGGCAACTGCATCATACATGGTTAAGATAGAAGCACTGCAAATAATTTGCAGATGAATTCGCTTTCTGCTTGATAACAATGAAATCCGAATGTAATTAAGATTTATCAACTATTAGATGAAGGTGTGGATTGAAAATTAATACCATTCTATTTTTAGACAAATAATTACAAGAATAAGTCGATTATGTTGATCCATTTAATTAAATCTAGAAGAAAAAAAAATTCTCTAAAAGTGAACCAAATGTCAACTTATCAATTTCCATCCACAAGTACACAACGGACAACTGCCCACACATCTCAAAAATTGAATTACATTTCTAAATGCCTTGTGCATTTCGTATTTAAACAAGGCAACACATATCAGTTTGATAAAGGTCGAGTACGTAACACAATATGTATTAGTAATTCTATACACATTCGACCGAAATTAAATGTTATTTTCGTGCACCAGCTTCAAATGGCGTGTCACTGTGAAATGTCTAAGTTATCCCAAAATCTATATTTTTCGTATGTAATTCGTGTATCGAATTCACATACCCATTTGATTGCACATACATATTTCAAGAGATTTGTTTTGTTGAGTCTGTTGCACAGCCAGTCCCTCAATCGAATATTTAGCCAATATCACAGAGGCCAGACAACTTGACATGTGGTTAGCTGTGGGATGTCCTCCGATTGCTCGATTCCTGCGCATAAAGTTTGCGAATTGACAAGCATTAAACATCGACATGAATATATGTTATCTTATGTTAAACAGTTTAATGAAACAGCTCAATGAAATAAAACTTTTATCAATGTCTGCAACGTACATATGTATAAATGTAAATACTTCACATTTCACATTCAATTCAGTTAATCTGCGAAAAATATATATATATTGCATAAACTTTATGTATTTAGGTTACAAAAAAAATATTATTCAAGATACAGCTCGTTTATTTGAATCATAGTAGTCAACAAATATACATAGTACCAGTTGTTAAAACACAAACAAGCACTTTTCAGTCAATGCTTACATCTGCTCCACACATATTTCGTAAAAAATAAATAAATTTCTCTTAAAATGATTGCAGTACTAGTAAACAAAACATCACTTGGCCTTGTGGCTGGTTTAGCCAGTGTTGCTATTGTTGGTTATTGCGTTTATTTTGATAACAAACGCCGCAGTCATCCGGAATTCAAGAAGAATCTGTACGAGCGCCGCCGACGCAATAAAAAATCTGCTGACCGAGAGAACGTATCAAACATATCAACCGATCAAAGGTCAAATGAACAATATTTTATGCAGGAAATTCACAAGGGCGAAATCCTTATCACCGAGGGTAATTTTGAACTTGGTGTTGACCATTTGATGAATGCGATTGTTGTGTGCAGTAAGCCTGGCAAATTGCTTACCGTTTTGCAAACGGCATTGCCAGAGGAGGTGTTTGCTTTGCTCGTACGCAAGCTGAACCACTTCAATATGGCAGCACAGAGGCCAAATGTGGCCGATAATTTTATGACTGGACTTGTTGTAGACGAAGGTAGTGTCGAATGAGCCAACAAAAGAGTTGAAACAATGCCAAATTTATATTTATTGTTCCAAGATTCAATTTATGTCATTAGAAAAAATGTATTGTACACATATTTAAGGCGGTTGCTTTTTTGATTTTTGGGATCATTAAAAGCGACTTCAAATCGTTACAAAGTAGCAAAAATATATTGTGAAGAAAATTAAACAACTTTATCTTTATGAAGTTTCAACTTTTGATAAAGTTCTTGGCCAACTACTTGGCGCATATTACAAACTGAAATTCAACTAGCCAACACCGTTAATTTTATTGGTATGCAAAAAAGCATCATGAAATCAGGAGTGCTCGACTACGATTATACTTTCACAAGCTAAAAATTTGTCATAAAGAAAATTGACATTTGAAATTGTTTTATTAACGATCAGAAGCAAGCGGAGAAAATTATTAATTAATTAATTATCCAAACAATTAAATTAATTATAGACTGCACTGTTTGCCTGTAGCTCCAAATAATTCCTGTACAAATAATACGCATGGTCAGAAGTATATATCTCTTTCGATTATATTTATTTATGTAATTATATTATACGCTCTTTGGCATATTTTATAGGTAACGAGTATAGCCAATTTGAAAAAGTTTTTCTGTGATAATGGGTGTTGCTGTTGCTGTCAGCATTTTAGATGTGAAAATTATAAATGAGAAAGTGGCAATCAACTCGAACAATACTTTAACTAACCCGTAACTACTTTTGCTGCTTTTTGTGCTTTGACAAAAATTTAAAGTGAATGTCTTTTATTATTATGTTGAGCATAATTATTACTAA